ATAATATTATAGTAATTAATTGTTTTATTGTAGAATCATACTAGGTGTTTTACTAGCTACTTAGAACTTTGGAAGAGCTGGAAATTAAAAATGGCTAATGTTTACTTGAGCATTATTTGTAATTTCTATCGTAAAATATAAAGTAGTTTATAACAAGAAGTCCATTATGACGTCTTTGCCACATGGAAGCCAGATGTTGATGGTGTGTTGGTGTTACTGGATGCTACTTCATCATCACTTTCATCTTCGCTTGAGCTTCCGTCATCAGGTCGATCACATGGTAATTTTTTCGGTATTCTTCCTCAACACTTTTAATTTTACTGCACAATTTTCCCCATTCACCTTCTCCTATCATATTTACCTTTTCGTTCACTAGTTTAGTCATAAAACAATAGATATAAATAATTTTTCTTTCCTTCCTTTTTAAAACATCGTCGCGAGTCGCAAAGTAAGCTGTGTATGCGACTGTAATTTCGGAGCGAACAAAGCGCGGGAACCAATAGCATGCAGGCACAGTAATACTGGCGGATTGTTCCCCCGTCGCGCGCCCCCTTCGTACCAATATGTGATAAATCGCTCAGTGCCCAAGTTCAAGGCCAGCGTTCTTTTTTCACCGTTCGTGCGTACATTAACCTCCATTAGTCAGGTGATATCAATTCAGTTTCCACTGCTGGTTTTATGTTTCAGTATTTTCATAAATTTTTTAATGAAATTATCGTTTCATTTAGCTGTACTAACATGATGGCGCGTGAATAAAGCTAATAAAATGTTGTAAAAATATGATTTTTTTTTCATCAGGATCAAATTTATTTGTGACCCAAGATCAAAGGTATACTTGGTGCTGTCGCCTGTCTTAGTTTTCGGGAGCGTTCCAAAAATACCCTGTATATAAATATAAATGCAAAATCAAACAGTACCTACACTATTACAACCAGCAGCAGCATGAAAGAGAAAGCATATAACAAAACAACAACTTAAAGAAATAAAACAGTCAGTTTAGTATTAAAATTACCAAAAACTTGCAGTCTGACGCCAAAAACTTGTAAGAATTATGAATCTATAAACTTTAGACTAGGCAGAATGGGTTAACATGCCTTTTCCAAACTAATAAAATAAAAAAATAAAATCTAAGAATGCCTCTGTGGTTATACACAGTAATCTATGGTTACAGGCTTACAGGTAGCAACTGTCAGTATAAAGTTATTTATACACAAATAATAAATATTATAACAATAAAAATGATCAATTAATCTACCTGTAATGGGCAATAATTAAAATAATTAGAGTAACAGTCATCAAACCAGTGCAAACCTATTATGAAATTTTTGTCATAGAAGTGAATGGCAAAGAGTTGTAATTAAACTGATTAACCAAAAGTTACAAAAAAATATATGAATTGAGCTACTGGACTAAATAAATAAAAGCGAAACCACAAAAAAACACGCCACTACCATCATTTTTTCGTCGTCTTCCTAGCCCTAGCAGTAGTAACACTGGGCTTAGGAGCCGAAGATGCCGCCGCCGCCGTCGCCGCAGTCAAGGATGAGGTAGTGGGGTCGCCACCGGCTGCATCAGTAATGGCAAGCACCTCAGCCACAGTGTACACTCGGTGCTTCGTGCCATCAGACCCAAGCAACACAACATATCCATCTCTTGACCAACATTGGGATACACCATACCGCTTCCGAGCAACAACGAACGCCTCATGACGGCCCTTAGTCATGAACTCAGATAGAGTAACTCCGCTACCCTTTAGCTTGGTTTTCGAAAACCAAACTTTGTCACGGAGATCCTGATCTCGAAATTTCACAAGCAGCGCTCGAGGCTTGTCACCACGGGGGTGCCCTAAGCGATGGCATCTGGTGATAGAGTCCACACTTATTTCATGGATGTTCAGCCGCTCCTTTAATAACTTATTCGTGCAAAATACTGGGTTCTCATCTCGGGCTTCTGGCATTCCATGTACAAGCAACATCTTCCTCCTGGTCCTTACCTCCATTTCATCTTGTTGCCTAGAGAGAAGCTGAAGCTGAAGTTGCAGATTCTCAAGTGCTGATAGGACAAATGCCCTAAAGGCATTAAATTGTGCATTAATGTTGAAAGAAGGGCTTGTTGCAGGTATGGATGTTCTGACCTCCCTCTGGAACTCATCCATACGTGAAGTGAAATTCAGCGTTAGCTCTTCAATTGACTTTTTAAGTAAATCCATGTTGAATATTCAAATAAAGGTCACTTAAAGGTCAATGTCAGGTGACAGTGAAGTGGCAAAGTAAGTTTTAAGTTGTGTAGTGAAAAAGAAATTAAAAGTAAAGAATGCTGGTGGATTTATGTAATTACAGGTACATTTATATACTTGATTATTTTAGATTTACTATATTAAAACTTTAAAATAACCAGGAACGATTTTAAATATGTCAAAACACTTTTGCGCCTACCCACCGAAAAAACTTTTTTGAACCTACTTATATAAATGATTTTTTCTGTACCTACTTTACCCTTTTCTGTACCCTTTTCCCTTGTAAAACTTTTTCTGTACCTACTTATAGAATTTTTTTTTTATAAAACAAGAAATAGTACAATAGGTTTGTAATCTGCATAAAAAAGTCACTTACTCTCAATTTCAGAGAAAACACATAGAAAAACACGTAGTTACCCACTAAAAACAAGTATCCTTCCCTTTGTAACTGATGTTTGATGTCAAATAAACTTAATTAGGTCCAAGCAAGTAAAAAAAACATAAAAAGAACACTACTTTTACACATGGCTGATGGCATAATAGGCGTGTCATCAAATCACGCCAAGCGTGCCATGAACTATTTCTTCGCCGCCACAGCTAAAAGTTGTCAAAAATTGGTGCCGCAACGAATCGATTAATATAATATGTATTACTTGAGAGATACATTGTGTTTTCATGCGATTGCCAAGTCAATCTATTTTTTGAAAATACAAAAGTTTTTTAGTATTGATGTGGTCACTATAAGATGTTGTTAGGTTAGCTAACTACGTAATAACTTAAGACAGAAGGACCCTTAAGTAGGGACTGAATAAATTAACCGACTAGGTATTACATGGATCTCTCAACTTTTTACGGTAGAAGAACTGAGTTGCGGGACTGGGTTTTTTTACAAGTTATGTTTTTGATGGTATAATTTTTTGATTTCAGACAATACATACTCATTTCTACAGCTAAATACGAGTAGTTTTGATCATCCGTTGTCAGCTGCCTAAGCTTAATTACTACATACAATTTTTAATTTTTATGTAGTTACATTCAATTTTTACCAATATGGAACAAATCTTGATTATGAACAAATGGAGCAAAATGCTTTTATTAAGGCTGTAAATGATTGTGTTTCAGGTAAGGATGCGGGGTACAGCACATTCCAAGTCAATATGAAGCTATGTAATATAAAAACTTAAGTGCTGTAGACGTCTGTTTAGATTATATTTTTTTAATATTGTATATGTTAATAAATTATTAAATTTGTGAACAAAATTATTGTAAAGTTAAAATGAGGACTGTATGATAATAAGGTAATTAATTTGTTTTTTTTTTAAATATATTTTTTAATATTATATATATTAATAAATTATTAAATTTGTAAACAAAATTATTGTAAAGTAAAAATTAATAAATTAAACTAATAAATAATATTAAATTTCATCATTGTTTCATTTTTATTTCAAAATAAATTTTCAAGGAATTACTAAATAAGCTTATTTGGGACGTCCTTTGCCTGACATAGCTGCTTCAAATAAAAAAAAGAAATGTCATATATCATTTTGCTACAACCAATCAGGATGCAGAAGCTAAGTCGAGTAAGTTTGGTTCGTGAGATGTCTGTCTGATTCGTGTAGAATCTACTAGTTAGTCTGTGATTTCACAATTCAGAAGTATCCGTTACTATCTATTGAATGTTATCTAATGCATAATTAAGGATAAGAATTTTGGTAATTGTCAAATATATGTTGGTTCTTAGGCGAGTTTTTACAATGTCCTTTGATAGACTACAAATACTCGTAAAATAGCACTGATTCTTACCAAAGGTGATCCGTGAGGCTACTGCAATCACAAGTTCTTCAATCATCAAAGTTTCTTAAAAAAATAACGATAACCAAAATGCACAAGCATTTTTCTTTATTCCCTTATACCGCATTTAGAACTAAAAATTAATTATTACAGCCTGTGTTAAAATCAAATTCAGAATCCTTAAGGTTTTAGTTTCAGCAAACAAGGATCTAAACCTACAACCTATACGTGGTCATCAGATCATGTTTAAAATGTATTAATTTTTTTTTAAGAAGAAGATAATATTAAATTTCTTACAACATATTAATATTCCTTGCTTTTCAAAAAGGTTAAAATAGATTATTTCACATTAATTTATATATCCTCGTGAAATAGCACTGATTACACATATTACTATATATATATACAATAATCACGTCACTTTCCCGTAGGGGTAGGCAGAGACCACTTCTATCCACTTGCTACGATCCTTATATACTTGTTTCGCTTCGTCCACTTTCATTATTCTCTTCATACATGCTCTACAGTTTAGGGTACTCTTGACCTGGCTTTTTTCAAGACGCCCCTGATTTGGTCTTGAAATATCCGCCTAGGTCTACATTTTCTAACACTTTCATTCAATTTCAATTTCCAACCATTTCATTTTATGTAAGCACGGGAATATCAAAAGAAACAAGATTAAAGATTACTCGGTTAATTTCATTGTTTTATAAAGTGTTAAAAGTTTTAAACATTTCATATTATAGCTTTTCCAGTCTTTTGGTTCAGTTTTATTGCCGATTTATTTTTAATATTCCAAATGGAATATTTATACTGTAGCCCATCATATCATGTGACGACTTAAATGATAAGAACATTAACCTCATTTTTATTATGTTAGTAATTGAGAAATTGTAAATGAGAAACCGTGTGTAAATGCTTCGTACAGTTTACTTACAGCCAGTGAGCTATACGCTAGCGACACGGCGCAATGATTTTATTGTTTTTATTTTTATTCGTTGTCGCAGCACCGATCATTATTTGGACATACTCCAGATTAACTAGCGGTATTTGTAAATGTAGTAGACATTTAGTAGGCAAAGTTGTTATAGTGACTGGTGGCAATGCAGGAATAGGTTTTGAAACGGCTAAAGACCTTGCTGAGAGAGGAGCCAGAGTTATACTAGCTTGCAGAGACGAGGGTCGTGGTACCACCGCCAGAGACAAGATCATCTCAGCCACAGGTAATAACAACGTCCATTATCGACACCTGGACTTGGCATCTTTAAATTCTGTTAGAAAATTGGCGCAAGATATTTTACAAAACGAAAATCGACTAGATATTCTTATCAATAACGCTGGCATATTTGGATCGGACAATGTAAAAACGGAAGACGGACTTCTTTTAGGAATGCAAGTTAACCACTTCGGACCATTTCTTCTCACTTTTCTACTATTACCACTACTAAAATCATCTTCACCAAGTCGTATAATCAATGTTTCTTCAATTGCACATGCCAGAGGTTTATTAGATTTGAAAAATCTGAATGCAGAAAAAGAAACTGAAAAGGCGTACTTAAAAAGTAAAATTTATTGTACTTCTAAACTGTGCAATATCCTAATGGCCGTCGAATTAAGCAATCGCCTCAAGGGAACCGGAGTAACTGCAAACAGCTTGCATCCTGGCGTTGTGGAAACAGATATTCTCGATGATATTAATATTAAATGGTACCAACTACTACTACCTTTAATTAAATTATACACCAAGTCACCATGGGAGGGTGCCCAAACTTCAATATATCTAGCAGTATCACCTGAAGTTAGTGAAGTATCAGGAAAATATTTTATAGACTGTCACTTATCGAATGCGTTTGGTAAACAAGCTCAAGACTCACAATTAGCTCTGAAACTTTGGGAAGCATCAGAAATCTTTGTTAACTTGAAATAGAACATTGTAATTGTAACAATGAACGGTATTTTACATAAATAAGTCTCCAATAATAAATAGAAAACAATTATAAAATTAATATAAATGAAAATCACAAATAAACCAGATAATAGGTCTGAAAGAGGAAACGTCTGTATATCTAATTATTTTCTTGGACAATTATAAATAATTTAAATACTTCAGTCTTATTATTTACCGTTCTAAGAACATTACATACATACATTACATGCAATCAGCGCTAAATACCATAATACTCGTACTAGTTTTACTGATTTTGTTTTATTCTCGCTAGGTTAAAATCTAAAATATAGTACAAGCCGATGCCTTTCTATATTAATATTTAATTTTAGGTTTAAAACATAACGATTCCCACGAGAGCTACACTGCAGAGATTTTGTGATAACATGTATGTCATTACATTTGTTACTTGCTCCGTTTCAACACTTTCATTTTCAGCGGGTTATACTTATAGTAAAGTCCGATGGATAAAGTTTTTAATATCAAATATTTTCAAGCTCCATCAGCATGTATGTAAGAACAAAGTTTCATGCGTCTTAATCAAGTCCCAAAGATAAAAAAATTCTAAGAATTCTAAGAATTCCCAAACATAAAAAAATCAACGGAAAGGGATACAATTTTCATCGATGCAAGATGCGCTTTAGTGTTCGAACAGGCCATAGAAGAGGTGTCTGAGGCCTGGAATAAGTGTTCCGACTCTTGATTTAGACGCATGAAACTTTGTTCTTACATACAAGCTGATGGAGCTTGAAAATATTTGATATTAAAAACTTTAGAAGGCGCACGATCCGGGCGGTATCGAGGAGCACCGATTTCTGCATTTGAGCCTAAAGCGGTCCGTCACGGAGCCCAAGACGCCTCAGATGACCTAAGAAGCTGACCAAGATTACACCGTTCGCAGAAATTACTACAGGAATAATTTAGGTCGGCAGACTACCCCATATGTCGGTCACCTCGTGAGTTAGGTCCAACTATTTTGTTCGCTCATCTGTTTTGGCTCTCACGAGGTTCTCGTCATACGGAATGGTATTGTTGACCAAATATCCTTGACCGTGCCCTTTCTATCAGCACAATATCAGGCTTATTCTTAAGAATAGTCCTGTCTGCGATGATTGCCCGGTTCCAGTAGAGCCTGGCGCGGTAATTTTCGAGCACGGCTTCCGGCAAGTACTTATAATAAGGCAGTTTTCGATTCACGAGCCATATTTCAGAGCGAGCTATTGGTGTAGAACCCTGGCTACTAGATTTGTGTCTGTGCAAGTACTCAGAGTCAGAAAGCGCCGAACAACTGGAGATGACATGCCAAAGTGACTCCCCGGGATGGAGACAAACTCGAAAGATATCAACGGCGCCATCCTTTAGGATGTAATTCCGATAATTGTTGGTCTTAATAAGTACTCATGGTTGTGATGAAAAAAGGTTCAAAAGTTAATGTATTATAGTAATCTTTTAGGATTTACGCAAAAATATGCTAAGGTAAGTGAATAATTATATATTTTAGTTAACTATCTAATCTAAGCTCGATATTTACTAACTGTACCGTGTTGTGGCGGTGTAAGAATATCCACTACTCCACATCATGCCGTAAGAGGCGACAGAGGGAAACAAATCAGAAGATGGATATCAGCGTCTTCCTAATAGCGACTGAAAATAAAAAACTGCTCAGCAGTGTTCACATGTCCACTGTGGACTTTTATAGGCTGTAACGGTTTACGGATATTTACTAAAGTTACAACCTATATACGTTCCACTGCTGAGCACAGGCCTCCTCTCATTTCTGAGAGGGTTTTAGGGCAACGTTGTCCGCCGCGCTGCCCCAATGCGTGTTGGTGAACTTCACATCTCTTCGAAATATTTTTTTTCTTATATCTCCGACATGCAGGTTTTCCTCGCGATATTTTCCTTCACCGCCGAGCACGTGGTAAATCAGCACTTAAATTTGTAATTAACAATTTCATTAGTGCCGGTGGGGATCGAACCCGGGTTTCTCGCGTACTGTGAAATTTACAGCGAGCGCTAACCATCTGAGCTACCACGGCATCTGTATCTATAGGGGAAATTGCATCTATATTTACTAACTACTTTAAAAGATTTCGCGTACTCTTCCGATTCTGCCACAATAATAATAATTAAATATAATGAATACTACGCTATGTAGGTAACTACTACATAGAAAATATTTAAAAGCAATTAAAGAGATAAAAATAAATGTCTGACATCCTAATAGTTTCTTTCTTAAAACTATTTTTAATTTTATATATTGCTTAAGAAGTCTGTTCATATACGTCACACCTATTAAGAATATTTAAACGTCATTTATTTAATCATGTTGTATTCGTAATAATAAAAGTTTGTTATTCAGTCAACAAATGAGGTGATCGCTACCATACTGTTTCTAAATGTAATCCTGATGCACAGAAAATCAAGCATTCTAAAAGAGATATTCCTTAACTAAATCCACGACTGATCGTTACTGATGGAATAATTGGGCTGGTATTCTTCTCGCCCAAAAGTATAGCCAAGGAAGAAGCACAGTCAGCGATCTTGGTACAATACCGATGGTAATTTTATTGTATAACAAGTTTAATTGTTTTAGTTTTATTATTGCAATAAATATTGTACATTATGTTTTGCAAATATAAATAAAGAAATAATAATAGAGTAATTTTTGAACCCTTTCGCTTTTGTTATTTTCTTACTATTATGTCAGAAAATCGGACAGTGAAAGTTTAAATTATTTAATAGAAAAAACGTACCACAGGTACTATATATAACAAACCTCATAGGCGTTTTTGTAGTATAACCTTGTCGCAAATGTTTCGATAAAGTAAGACGCGGTAAATATTATTAAAGTAAGACGCTTCATTAAAATATCACAACTGCAATATCATGGTCAAGGTTACATATACATGTTATAAGCTTTTATAGCGTAGGCTACGTGTGCTAAATTATTTTTAAAATCACAAAGGTTTTTATTATAATTAAATATTATAATTAATAGAAACAGGCGTTACTTTACGGAAATCTATTACATAATATGAAAGAAGTTAGAACTTAACTTGCTTATTTCCGCATAATGAAATAAAATGATGTGTCCTGCCCAGTTCAAAGAGCACCGCCAGGGCTCCCTCCATTGCGTACACTTTCCCCGTCACCACAAATTCCAGCACCATCACTTCCAACACCACCACACTAGGAAAGACACAGCACCCTCGATAACACGACACGCGTTTCACCTATACACGAGGCATCGTCAAGTGAAGCAGACTCTGCGGTTGCTAACCGCCAAGCCTACTTCACCAGTTATAATCATCAATCTTATTTCTTTATCTTTCTATTTACTTTAATGCAAGGTATTACACTTAACAGAACTTATTTTCATAAAGAACAAAGTACAATCACTTTATCACAGGAGAGGGTCCATAAGTCCATAAATTTGTGGTTCAGTTTGTCCGTATAGGGGAGAGAAGGGTTTTAGCCGGTAGGAGACCGGCATAACCTTACCGTTGCCCCAAAGGTATCCATGAGGATACCCACGAGGATAAATATAAAAAATCCGGTGAGAATCACGAACACGCAGTAATATGAAGAGCACGTAGCACCGGCAACCGCCTCTGAAGCTGTAATTTCCAGCATTAAGGAGTGAAAAAGAAACCTCAGCAGGTCACTTCTGAGGTACGCCTCTTTATTTAGTCTAAAATAGAAACAAAAATTAGTAATTTAGACCTATATTTACATTGAAACCTTAAACATTTTAAGACCTCCGAATTTTCTATAATAATATTTTAGTCACAATGTTCTAGATAAACATTTGACATTAAAATTTTATATTCTAATTTAAACTTTGGGATTACGACATTGTCTATCTGAGTGTCGAATCTAGTCTATTTTGTGAAATTATTTTTGACACTTATATCTATACTTATAATAAATCTGTAGAGAGGTCAATTCTGTACATGAAATATATTTCCATAATAACTATCAGTGGGTGATTAGTGATCGATACTGATGCCAAAAATGCAAACAGTAAAATTTTTGTCTGTCTGTCTGTATGTTCGTTATAGAAACAAAAACTACTCAACGGATTTTAACGAAACTTGGTACAATCATTCTTCATACTCCTGGGCAGGTTAAAGTACACTTTTCATCACGCTACAATCATTAAGAGCAGAGCTGTGAAGGTAAATGTTGGGGAAACGGGAGAAATTACTACATTTTTTAAGCTTCCGTCGCGTGTGCAGCCTTAATGGTTAAAGCTACACAGAAATCATATATAACGGAAAGGTTCTCCTTAAAATTATATAAAAAATATCCCACGACAGCATATGTCTATCTTTTATGGTTGACTCACAATAACAAGTATAACTCCCGATAGCTTAGCAGTTCGGAGCTTTCTGATTATATTTGTCTACTCTTACGTTTATAACACTCTTACTCATCCCTAATTAAAAAAAGTTAACATTATTATCTATTCAATAAAAAAGAATCATAGAAATCGGTATAGAAACACCAAAGTTATACATGAAATACGCTAATAAGCCATCGCGCGTGAATACTGAATCATCCTATAAGGATTATTTTTGTGTAACGGTCGCCGCGCCTGAAGCGGCTCGCAGCGGGAGGTATAAAAAGGCCGGTAAAAATGGGGGTCCGAGTGCGAGCTTCATACAATATTTGGCTGTTGATGCGAATATACGTTCAGAGTGTTCGACCTTATTGACAGACAATAATTGATTTTAACAAACCGTGCTTATCAGCGCGACTTTTAGTCTACTCTTACGTTTAATAATTTATTTTTAAATTTCTTTGGTTGTTATTTTATAAAATAGGTATTAGTTATTTTGGTAGTGTTTAAATATTTCTTAGTATTAGCTTAATTATAAATTAAACTTTTTTTTTATTTAGCTGTAGGTACTAATAGGTACCTAGGTATCAAATAGGTTATTTCATTCTATTAGACGTAGTTTAGGTACCTACTTATA